TAATATTTATTATTTAACATATTAAAATTAATTTATAAATAAATATTTTAAGTATTATAATTAATTATTTTTAAAAAATTATAAACCAATAAAATTATAAGTAAAATTTATAACTTAAACAAAAAGATAAGTGGCTATACCATCAGCCCACACTCAATTGTCTCCTCTGCATCAAGTTTTCGATGGTTTAAAAAGTCAGGAGGGGTCAGGTGGAATGATGTGTACGTCTAGTTGCCATAGTTGATTGCAAGCCTTGATGGATAGTTTTACCTTCTGATCCTCACAAACAAAAGGACCAAACGCACTTTCGAAAAATTGCCCATAATTGTCTCGCTGTTCCGCGCGATGGCCTAGGGATTTCTTTTCATTTCTGTCTGCCTCTTCTTTTGTCTGTGTATACAGGCAAATGACCGAGTTGCTCCCTTACGTTCCAACAAAAGGCTTGTCCGATCAAAAGGAAAAGGATGATATATATACCATGAGCTCACATTTGCTGGAACCTAGCTTGATCCCTTTTTTTTATTTTTGATATATCAAAAGATGAGTTACTTGGAATACGGATATTTGAACATTTAATTTTGATTTTAATTAAAGTTTTTTAAATTAATTAATATCACTTCAATCAAACTTTGATTAATAAACTTAACTTTTTTTTGATGTTATGTTATTTTAAAAACTTAAATTATGAATTTAATTATGATTACTTTTTATGAAAATTATGAAGTGTTCGTAAAAATGACTCAGATTCCTTACAATTTCTTAAAGTGTCCAAACAAATTTATAAAGTGATGTTTGGAAATTCAAAAAGTAAACTAAAACAATTAAAGATGAGTTGCCTTGTAACATTTCGTGTTATGGTTGCTTGTAGGGTTTCTTACCGAACAGGTCGGCTTGGGACTGCCCAAGTTCAGCATGGTCAAAGCTAGGGACCGAGCCCAAGAAGGGCTCAATAATAGGCCAGTCTTAAACATGGATCTCAGAACCCAAGACTGTGTTCATCAACACGCACACAAGCAAGTAAAGAGACTTGCGACCAGGAGGCTCGTAGGTGGGTGAAAAGGAGTATATTGCCAACTAGTCTAAGAGGCCAAGGACATGGGCATGTCATTCAACCTGTCTATTTCATTAAACATCACATATTCACGCCATGGTGAAGACTGAAATGTGGATAAGATTTTGACTGGGAAATGGTTGCGTTGATTATTCAGAGGAATGGGGCTGTCGACTTAGTAAATTATAGAGCTTGTGTCGTTCACACTCGGGGACGGTACAATACCGAATACCCATCTTTCTTTCATGCCTCAAAGCAAATCCAATGCAAAGTCTAACATCTGGCAATTTTTTGTTTATTTTATATTTGTATAAACAATAGCACACATGACTGAAATAAATGTTAATTCGGACTTGAAAAGGCATTTCTACAACATTATCTCTAGATCCTTGTTTTCACTCATATCTACATTGCAATATCAAATGCGAAACACAAAATAAGTGTATTACTTCGGTTAAAAATTTATTTTATAACCTATCCTATATTAAATGCGAAACACAAAATAAGTGCATGGTTACTAAACAAGGAACCATGCAGTGTATAAATGCAATAGGTAGATTCTTACAATGTTAAAAAGCTTTCTATCAACCTGAAGTTCTAGAAAAAGTCAAAAAAAAAAAAAAATTATGAGAAAATCCTGTGTCCTGTCCAAAACTTCCATTCAATCATTAATGCATGATACCCAGTCATTTCTTTTCTCTCTTTATAAAATAGAAGCCATTAATGACCAAGAAGGATTTACCTCTTGTAGAATTAAAGCAAAATGAAAACACGTCCACTTTTTCATGATGACGAGGAAGGTGACGAGATAATGGGGAGAGATGTTTAACATCTCCGGTGATTCTTGTGTCCATAGTGAGGCCTTGTTGGACGGAGAAGGTCTGGAGTTGGGCGAGACAGAGGGTCATGATAATGGTACAGAGGAAAACAGGGGTCATTCCAAGGATGATTTCTGCGTTTTCTACTTGGGTTACACGGTAAAGTTTCCATGGATTCGGAGCGCCGAATTGCTCAGTAGATGGTATTTGCACGGCTGCTTTGTCCAGGAACCTGTAAATGTCCCTGTGAGGAAGGAATTCGGTTTCTCCGGCAACTCCCCGGTCAACCTCGTAAAGCTCAATTGGGTTCTCAGGAAGTTCCAATTTACGGTTCAGGATGGCTGCAACATATACCTGAATGATTTCGACGATGGCACTGGTTCCATTAGCGACGTGGATCCTAAACAGAGGAAATCCGGCGAGGAAGACGATGACGCCGCAGAGAATAGTGACGGTGGAGATTCCAAACCCCCAATCCCATCCTCTCTCATCTTGGATCCACACGATGAGAGTCAGACTGACAGCACCGCCGATGCAGAGGGCGAGGAGGAGCCAATTGAAAAGGCTAGACATTTGTCTGGTCTCTTTTGGGCCCTTCTCGTCAAATTGATCGGCTCCGTGGGTTGGAAAGGCGGCTTTGAACCCCGCCGTCCCAGCAGCCAACAAGTACAGTGCCACAAAGAGGAATGCGGCATCTCCGGTTTTGAGTTTTCCACACTGCCAGGTTTTTTCGAAGACGTTACAGAGAGGCGGCCTTAGTGAGGGGAAGTGGGCTTGGACTGTTAGCAATGCCAGTCCCTGCAACAGAAGGAGGGAAGAATTAGTCTCGGGACTCATTTAAAAAACTATAGAAAGTATGATGGCTAAGATGAGGTAATTTTCCCCCCCAAAAAAACTACAAACTCCGTTTTTGAAGACACCATTTTTGAATGATAGAGTTGGTGATACCATCATACCAAGAACTCTATGAATCCAGAAAAAAGAACAGCTTTGAATCTGCCAATGTAAGTGTCAGTGAGGACGGTAACCAGAATGGTAAGGAAGAAGCTTGTGCCCATGTAGTTAGTGAGCTCATTGGCTGCATCAGGCAGTTCAAAGTGCAAAATCCCATTGAAATAAGTCACCAAGTTCACAGTCAGTGCAATATTCGCCATGTTCTCAAAGCCAAATGCAGCTGCAACCCACAAAAACACAAGAAAAATCTTTGTTATTACATGTTATGAAAACATGTCTGAATTCAAGTTAAACTTACCTATGATCATCAATGCTGTTCTCATTCCTCCATGTTTGTGCTTCAGAGCTGTTCTTCCCCTCCAATCTACCTTTCCTTCCACACGCTCAGGTTTCTCCTACAATAGAACATCAAAGGGTTAAAATGAAACAAAAGAAGAAGAAGAAGAAGAAGAAGAAGAAGTTATAATCAGAAAATAAAAGACGGTTAAAGAAAATCATACCATAGCTGCTAGTTTAGATGTTTCTGGTTTTTATCACAAAGATCTTTCTGTATATATAATGGATGGCAAGACTAGTTCTTAATAATCAGAAACAGTGTGTCACTCTTCCCTAACTGTGTTTGCACTGAACATTAACGACTTTGCGAAAGAGAGATCCTCGGGAAGCAGGCAAGGTTTCTGAAAACGAAACTTGCAAGGAGACGAAGCATGTAATCTTATTTCTTAATTGTTAATTCTAGTCACATTCCAAAAGAACAAGCAGAAAGAATTTCTGCTTGTAACAGAAGTGTCCCACAATGAGTTTAAAAAACTCTATGGTGCTGGAAACTAGCACTTGACTCAAGTTTGCAGTCACTTTTGATGCCATATTTTAAAAACAAAGTGCAGCTCAAAAGATATCTCAGAAAATGTTTTAAAATGTATGCATTGCATTTGATGTGGGTCCTGATGAGCCTTACAATGATTGCTATAAGGATGTTCTTTGTTGTTTACAAGGAAAAACTGAACTAGAAAAGGGATAAATTCTTGATTGGCATCACAACAATGGCTCCTGGAACTGCAGCATCTTGGATTGAGACTAGTAAACTATAGTATTTGTGGCTACGTTCATGGTTCTTGTCTATTGGTTCTATAGCAGATCCAAATTCCAAATAAAGAAACTTACTAATCATCTGTGCAGGCCGCAATTTTTTAACTCTGGACGAGAAAATTCCTTCAGCACATCATTCACAGTTTCATTAACAGAATGCTAGACCTCATTCAAGAACTTAAGTGCTTGTCATAGATCATTTTTTCACAGAGGTTATTGTTCCAAAATCTTCTATAAAAATATAAAAATTAATAATTACGCAAAATTGCAAAAAATAAACTATAAAAGTTACGTAGAAAACAAAATATAATATAAAAATAACATAAAAATGCCAAAAATATATATTTTTAATTAAAAATGACTAATTTATTTTGTTTTGATTTGTTTCAACTTTCAAGACATGTTGGCAAGGAAAATTATGAGAAGAGGAAAAAGAAGAGAAAAGGCACACCAAAAAAAAAAAAAAAAAATGGAAGAAAAAGCCTAGCAACCCATGAATCCAAATACCTTAAAAGTTAAATCCAAACAAAACACTAAACCCTTTACATGTTAAACCCCAATTCTGCAAATCCATTTACACTCAAATCCTTTTCAACTCTAAACTCTAAAGCCCATGCTTATTGCCCCTACCCGTTTCCTTCTACAGAAAACCCAGAACTCATTCCATAAATCCCCACATTGTGAAACTTTAAGGCTGCTTGTCTAGGGGCTAACTTCATGATTGGAAAAGTAATTTATGGAAAGTTGGAAAGAACTTATGAAAAGTTAATAACTTTTATAATAGTTATAATATTATATAAGGTTGTAAATTTGTAATTATAATGTAATATTTAATAAATGTAATGTAATATTAAATAAGTTAATACATATAAAATTATAAATAGATTTTTAAATAAAAATAAGTAATCATATAGTAATACATCATATTGTAAATTTATAATACCATTTAGCATTATACCTATAGTATTTTTGATAAGTTTTGTAATGAATTTTTATTCTAATTTGATTGTATTGTTAACTTTTTTTTATGTTTAATAAAAAAAATTGAAAGTTGGCATAGAGAAGTTAAAGAAATTTTTTTGTTTACACCATAAATTGCATACTTTTATAAGTTAAAAATATCACTTTTATCTTATTATTATTATTATTACTATTGTAGTATCAACAATTAAAAGATTAATTTTTATCGGTTGGACTTGTAAAAAAATTAAATAAAAACACACTTAAAAATATATTATTTCAATGAAATATAGTAAGAAAAAATTAAAATAATTTCATTCTTATTTTTAAAATTAAGATATTTGAAAAAAATTTAATAAAAATTTATTAAAATAATATAATTTTAAAATATTTTTTCAACTTTTATTTTATTTTATTTTTTCATAATGGTTGATGACCATTTCTTTTTCCAACAATTAAAATGTAAAAAAATGTAAATAACCTTGGAAGAATCTAAGTGACGGCCGAAGTTGAGGGGAACTTTTCTCCCAACCAAAAGCCTCCAAAGTCCAAACTGTAGATAATACGTTTGGTTTACTTTACACACTTTGCAGGAAATTAAGCTTCCCCGTTTCCTCTTCTTATCCCTGCTGACCACGCCCTTTCCCCATTCATTTTCCCATCACTGATTACCGCATGCATCGCCATCACCCTCTCATCCCTCTATCACCCTCCCATAATCATGAGAGGGATTCTTTTCTGAACAAAGGCTACCCGATTTCAGCTGGTGGAGCTGCTGTCGTTTGGACAAAGAAATGGAGAGGTAACGAACCAAAAGGAGAAGGAAGAGCATGAACCAGAGGAAGGGAATCCAGAAGCGAAGAGAGTAATTGAAGGAATAGAGAAGGTTTGAGATCGTCTGACTCGGAATTGCTGCTCTTCTTAAACCCCAGAACAGAACCACCTACTATCGATATGGATTCAGTATGTTGCACTAATGAGGAATGCATTGATGCTTCTCGTCCTGGAAGTCTTTGGAGACAATGAAATGGAGAGGGTCTTGAACATTCTTCGGAAAAATGATAGCATTTCCAGTAGAACTTCGCTGCTAAAGCTGGTATTGCTTGAATTTCTATTAATTTTAGGTAGAAATGCCCCGTGACTTTGAAGTTATGTCATGAAGTGCTGCTTTAACTCTTTGGTCCGAGGGTCTCTAGAAAGGAGGCCGAATGTTAAAAAAAAAATTTAATTAAATTAAAAAAAAAATGAAGTGAGAGTTGCCTGCTTCATGCTTTGGCTGATCAAAAAACAAAAAAACAAAAAAGTTGCTTCATGCTTTGATGTCTGTGGCTGTTGGCAATGGACGAACTTTTGAACAATCTTAATTCGAGACCTCTTGTGTAATCTGTGTATGTGGATGAGATGGTTGGTTTGTTGTTCCTTTCTTTTACATATGTATTTTCTTGCCTGTAAATGTGAAGACTATGTAGAGTGTATTTGAATTTCTCGAATTTCAGGGACCGACCCAACATTGGGCCTCCTTGATTTGAGATGTTGGTCATCTTGTAATGTAGGGGGTACCTTGAAGATCACTCTGGTGTTACCGACCTGTTCTTAACGTTTTGTTTCAGAGATTTCATGCCTTTACTTTTTGTTTTCCTTTCTTCAGTTAGGTCCTGAGTGTGAGCATTTTAAGTGATATGTCACAGATATTCGTTTACTTGATTTCTTATCTTGTAGTGTTTTTCCTTCGGTAAATTCATAGATACTCGTTTTTTTCTAAAAGAATATTATAATTACAAAAAACTATTTAATTTAAGTTGCATAACTTTAATTATTGAATAAAAGTGAACACTAATTATTGAATTGAATAGGAGGGAACTCTTTGATAACTTTATTTCCTCCTAATAATTTGAGTCGGTTTGCTTCACATTATAATTCGTGCAAGAAGCGACTCAAAATTCTTTAATTTTTACACTTAAAAGTTTTGATTTATTTTAAACTTTAAATAATCGTCAAGGGTACTTCAATGGAGAAAAAGAACAACTACTTCATAATATAATATTCTTTTTATTGTACAACACAACCAAGTTTTTGGATAATCAAACAGAAGACTGAACTTAGGGACTAAAGACTCAGCTAATGATGTTACTATCAGGCATAAGGAATAAAGAACAGCAACAAAACAGCGTGATGTACAAAAGAAATAACTCTTATCACCTGTGCAAAAAAATATGACCATGCCTTCCAAGTGGAAAAAAGGTTATACTACTAAAACAGAAACAATAATGAATTAATAGTTCAGTAAAGAGTACTTTATCCTCAGCACTATCTTTCCCTTGTCCACACCAAGCTTAGCTCCTGTAACCAACCAATGCCCCGGACTATCCTGAGGACCCTTCGACATTTCAGTGGAGTCCACAATTTTTGCCAGTTTTCCGATGTGGCTCGAACTGTCTTCCTTCTTATCATCAGATCTTTCGTTTGATATTGATGAAGATGAACCATCTGACTTATGTGCAGTGGATAGGTTGGATGGAGTGTGATCCCATACAGACCGCCTTATTGTACATCCTGGAACTTTGGAGAAGAGGAGTTTGAGGTGTAATACATTTTTGGAACCGAAGTCCCAAACATTAAGTTGAGCCCCTGTAACAATGTGGACACCTGAAAGGTCTCCAATACAAGTGTCAGTGTGCTCTATTGGTGCAGTGCTTACATGAGAGAAGTTCTTCCATTTGATGGGCTCAAACCAACGGCTGTCTTGTTCCTCTGGACCTTGCCACTTGGGTGCACCTATAGCCATGTGTACATCCCAATGGGGCTGTAGGATTTTCGGAAGAGAGGCTAGATGCTGCAAATGAATTGCAAGTCTATTCTGCTTGCTACCCTCTAAGCAAAGTCGAAGCCCTGTGACTGGCTTACGACCAACTGTTACCTGCAATGTCATGGGACACTGAGTGGAAATTGCTGTGTATTCTTAAATCAGGATTCTCTTTATGCATTTCACTTGCCAAGAGGACAGCATGAACTGTTTACCTTGTTTTATGGCTCTTTCCCTCTTTTGATCTAATTTATCAATACTGTTATCTTTCATTTAGCAGTAACTATGGAAACTAGATTTCAAGGAGAGGTGAATACTAGAAGTTTCACTTGCACATTGACAACGAATATTCTCAGCATCTGCCTATGGCCTTACACCTTTTTCTTAAAAATTTTTTACATCAAAATCCAATAATTTATATCTCAATCATGAAAAAAACCTTGTTTCCCCATTTTTTTTTTTTAAGTAAAAATATAAATTACCTGATCTGGGCTGACATACAGTTTGGGACCCATCAAACTGAACTGAAGGGACGGACATACAGGCTCCTTCCTTTGAATGTTGCTTTGTTCTGGTGCCCATATTCGGGCAATTTGGAAGTCCAAGAAATATTGTAAATCCTCAATTGGTGGCTTATCTGGGAAGAACAAAAGCAATAAAATAATCAGTATCTGAAAGGCAAAAGGAAAACGTCTTTACCATCTCTATCAATACATGGTTTCCATATTGCAATTTAGGCAATATTTATAAAAACAAGACTCCAAATGTGCACATCCAAATTTATAATACATGCACATTTTTAGTACTTGAACTCATACACGACAATGACTAAAAATGTGCATATATGGACAGATTTAATGACTAACTGCCGGAAGAACAAAAAAAGTGCCTTTTTCACAGTTTAGGCACTAAAAATGTTCAAAATTAAATGTTCAGAGACTAAAAATGGCATTTAACCAAAGAAATACCTTGAAAGAACACATGATGAATGCATTGTAGGTGGACAACAACTTCAGAACTGGAATTGGAAGGTATGTAATTATTAGAGAACTTACACTCCAGGTACAGGTCAATTGCACGGGCTAAATGCTTTATACCAGGCACTCCTTCAAGAAGAGAAACAATAGGTGTAAATGTCATGTTAATCACATCTGGTGCCAACCTTACAGTCTCTGCCCACCTGTCAGGACTCTGCTCAAGATCATCACCTCCTCTCCTCCTAAAAATGACTGTAACATCCTACAGCAAGAACCTTTTTAAGCAATGGATTTTCTCAAAAGTTGAGCATATAAAATCTATAAAGAAACAAGTCCATGTGAGAGGAATAGTTTTGCTAGGAGCATTACAACAAACAAGAAGGCATGCCCAACAAACGTGAAGTTCCAAATAATTTTATAATAAATGGAGAGTTTGTAGGACTGTGAGAGCAAATAAAATGAATTCAATGTTGGCAAAACCCCCAAATCAACCCCTCAAATAGGAGGGCAGGGACAGATCAGCCTCTCAAAAAAATGTAGGGACAAATTGCCCCTCTAAATTATTGATCAAGATAAATCACCCATTATTTAACGTGTAACATCATTACACATCAGCTTTCTGTTAAAAAATGCTTACATGGCAAACAGATTTCTGGCATGTTATGATGTCATGCATTTAATAATGGGTGATTTGTCTTGATCGATAATTTGGAGAGGCAATTTGTCCTTGTTTTTTTTCGAGAGGTGGATGTGTCCCTGCCCTCCTATTTGAGGTGCAGATGTGGGGTTCTGCCTTCAATATTTCACTCAGGATGTCTTTAACGATCTAAAATCATTTGAATTGAACAAGCCAGAGTACCAAGTACTAACCTTATCCTTGTATTTTAAGGGCCCAGCACTTGACTCGCCTGTTGAGTCCATAAACCTATGATCTCCAATATCTTTGACATAGTTCTCAATGTCAGAGACTGACAAAGAAGATGATTGATGCTGTCTGATGTATACAACATCTCTTCCACCAACCGTTGCAGAAGTAACAATATGGGTACCATAATTTTCAATGAAACTGAAACACAAAAGGAAAAAAGGAGGAACAGAAAATCAGAAGCCTGAAACCGTACAGGAATTTTATGATCTACAGATCCTATCAGCCATTCACAATGAAATTGGGAATTTTGTCCATGATCTGCACCATAATTGGTGATTCAATGAATGGGTAAATACAAGAGTTCCCACAGGATCCATATTAATCTACTATTGTTTATAATAGGTTCAAAAATCCATTATGATCAACAAATTACTGAGTGATTTAGCACAACAAAAATCATTAACCCCAAGATAAAAATTAAAATTAGTTCATGTTGCATTTCACTAGTGAAAGTGAGAGTACTGTTAAATTCTTCCCAAGGAGCAACTAGTTATGGAATTACATGTGCATTCAAAGATATAGCAATAGATATGAAATGAGACTTGCAAAGAAAATGGACAGTTTCAAAGAGTATACAAATTTCTACTATTAAGAAGAATTTTGAGCCAAATACCTAGCCAAAGATGCAGGATCCCAAGAGTAAGGAACAGCACGTTTGATTTCCTCATGCAGAACTAAGTTCAGCTTTGCTAACTTGACCTCATATAAGGGTATGAAATATCCAACCATTGCAAGGGATTTTGTAGCTGCTGCATCGACTTGCCGAGAACCAGTGAAATTGAACATGGCATTGAAACTTCCAAGTGGTATATGTCCTGATATACCACATTTCTCATTAAAAAATTCTGCCATCTGAAATTCCAAGCATACAAAATATAAATAAAAGATTTTGATTTGTTCTGTAGTGAAATAAAAATAAAACTAGCAGGTACAATTCTTAGACATAATCAGGATTATTTAGGCCAAAACATTAATGATGACAAGAAAGTCCAACATACAGAACTTTTAAACATGACCACACTGTTAAATACATAAAATGCAACAGAATGGTGGGCTCTAAAGATATTTGCAGACTAATACCCAATCATTAAAACAGAGAATATAACAGAATAAAAGACATTTTGGTTTGCTGGACAGGACAAGTCATTTCTGGGGGAGAAACCATGTGCTTTTGGGATCTGCATGCTCCTTGGTTAGAACCCTTAAGTGGTCCAAATGGTTTGGACTTGAGTAGGTTGAAAAAAGATGTACAACCTTGGCTAGAACGTCGGTCTGTGGAATATATGACTCACGCTCCTTTAGGTTCTTTAAATTCTGTAGGTAGTGTAGCTGCCAAGTGCCAAGATCAATGCAGTTAATTATGTCTCTCCAAAAAGTTGGTTAGTTAGCTCTGACGGGTCTCCATCGAATTAAATATCAGGTTGTCCATATTAAGAAACAACAAAGGAATGCAAACACTATGATTTATAATGGATAAGTAAATGCTCCACCTCCATTTCATGTAAAGATAAAGGAAATAATCAGATGAAAACATCTAAAAGGAATGAACCTACAATCCTATAAGAGTCCAAGTTTTTCTGTTTTACCTTTGTTCTTATCAACCAAACAGTAATCACTTTCTTAAGCTTTCTTTAGAACCTAATGACTTGGAGCTGGGGAGATCACCAAGCATGAATAGGAAGGCACTCAAATTTTCAAGATATTAGTATGTTCTATTGTAATCAAGCATGATGGAGCTCTCACAGTTGGAAAGGGTGAGACAAAATCTTGGGTAGTGCCCTGATTATTGCACTGGCAGTTTACTCATGAACGTCAGCACAAACGTAAAGGATAAGAAATGTAATGCAACCGACCAACAATATCCTCTTTTTTTCCTCTTTCTTCATTTCTTATATGCCAATGTTAAACAGAAGCACTAAACGTTTATGTAAGAAACCTCGATATCAAGCTATCTGTGCAAAATTTCATTTAGGAATTTGAATTATCCATCTAAATGATTTATTGCTCTGTACCAAAAAATAGGCCTTTTTACATCAACCTCAAACACCAGTAGTTCCTTCACATCGTAAAACAGCATATAAGAACTTCTACACCATTGTCAACAAATCTTAATGAGAGAGCTGCTTGGGGGAAAAATTTAATGAAGGAGACTCTGCACTTTCACCTAGAAGTAGCAAATGGGAAACTTACATGCCCCAACAAATTTAAAAACTTCGTCATGAGATCTCAGTGAAAGAATCCAAACATGAGAACAGATTACTGATCCTAAATCATAACAAGCTCTATACAAAAACATAATATGATGTATACCCAATTTGATGACAAAACCAGAATCAGAAACACACGACCAAAGCCTCCTTTCGAAGGGGAAAGGGGCTGATGGTTGCAGCGAGCAAGAAACACAAACGCAATTCAAAATAACACCAAACAATTCAAGGGCAGCCGATTCAAATAACAAGAAACAACCAACAAGTAAGAAACCCATAAAAAAAAACATCACCTCACCTCGTGAAAACTGCAAACCGGCAGTCTCGCGATGCTCCTCTTACCCGTCGAGCCCTCAATATCAGTGGGCACATTTGGCAGCACAACCCCATCGGAGACATAAAGTTTCCTGGTGTGATCTCCATCAAGCTGAACCAACCTTGACCCAGGTGCTCCCTTGCAGTACAGAAGCCTTATATCAGATGTGACATCAAACCCACGACCCAGAGCTTGGATTGAATTGTAGAGAGTTGTGGTTAACGCATCAGAGCTAGAACAGCTCAAGCCACCCGTTGTTGTTCCTGGGTTTTCCATAAGACCCTTCCGTTCATTCCCAAGCCAAAACCATCCCAAGGGGGTTTAATACCGTTTCAAGCTCTCAAATTTCCACACAAATTCCTTAAAAATCACAAAAAAGAAGGTGCTCGGCTATTGTTCCTGGTAGGTTAAGATTGGATTCTGTAGTAGTTGGCTTCCCTGAGATTGTTCTTGTTCTAAGGGGAAAATGTTGACTGCAAACAATTGCTAAAAAAACGCGTCTTTTCTGTTGGGTATGAACGGGGAGATGATTCTGAGTTGACTGGTCTTCCTTTAGATCCTTTTGTTCTCTGACCTTGTTTCAATCACACCCTTTTTGACTTTAGATAATTTTTTTTTTTTTTTATTCTCTCTTTGGTTCTTCCCCTAAGGGAGAAGATTAACATTGAATTTGGAATTAGATGTTCACCAAAAAGGAATTTGGAATTAGATTCTTCAAATTATTATCTTTCCAAACCCTAATTTTGAGGAAACTGATATATTTTCTTTTTCAATTTTGTTTATCATAACTCTTATCAATACTTTTTTTTGTAATTGATGATGAGTTAGGATAAAGAGAATAACTCTTCATTTTTTTCTTAATAACTTTTTATTTCATTTAAAATTTGAATATTAAATCTATCAGATGAAATTTTAAATTTTTTAATGAGTTAAACTATCCTTTAAATGTATTTAGCAATAAGTTATAAAATTTTGTAAGTTAAGGGTGTATTTTTTTTATTATTAATTTACATAAAAAGTAAAAGTTAATTTTAATTTAATTAACTATTTAATTAAATCATTTTACATAATATTTATGTTGAAAATAAATTTTATTTTTGTTAATATAAAAAAATACAATAAATATACACCTAATTTATGTCCAAAGAACATATATTAGAAAAACCCATAATTTATAACAAAACAACTTCTTCTTCTTTTTTTTGAGCCATGAAAATGTTTACAATGTGGTTGCAAATAACTGACTTCCACTAAGCTTGTCGGGTGTTTGGCAACCGGTAGTTAAGACTGTAGAGAAAGGGGCATACTATAAAATTGAGGGGTTATGCGTTGGCTAACCAGCTAGCTCATCCAGTTGGACCATTTTAAACTTGCTGGTTTCTTCAAAGAGTAAAAATGAAGATTCATTTACTTTTTCCTTTGTATTCTTTATAGTCAAATTAGCGTAGACATGAGTAACTTTTAATATTACTCTATTAGATCATTAAAGCTAATCTCAATTTTAAAATTTAAGTAGATGATAGCAAAACTTAAAAAGAGTACAAGTCTCAAGAAAAAGTGAAATAGCTATAACTAGCCCATGAAAAGAGTCCAACTTCATTGTGCATTGGCCAACCAGATAACTCATGAATTTGGACCATTTTAAACTAGCTAATTTCTTCAAAGAGTGAAAATGAAGATTTGTTTTTTTTTCTAATATATTTTTCATAGTCAAATTAGTGTCCACATGAGTAACTTTTAAAATTATTCTATAAATTAACCTTTATCCTAAAAATTAAAGAGGTAATAACAAAACTTTAAGAGAGTACGGGGCTCAAGGAAAAATGAAATAACTACAACTACCACGCGTGAAAGGAGTCCGACTTCATTATGCATTGGCCAACCGGCTAGCTCATCAATTTGGACCATTTTAAACTAGCTGAGTTTTTCAAAGGGTGAAAATGAAGATCTGTTTACTTTTTCCAGCATATTCTTCATAGTCAAATTAGTGTAGATATGAATGACTTCTAAAATTACTCTATAAAATCATCAAAGTTAACCTCTATCCTAAAAATTAAAGAAGTAATAGCAAAACTTCAAGAGAGTATAGGTCATAAGAAAAAAGTGAAATAGCTACAACTACTACGTGAAAGGAGTCCGGCTTCATTATGCATTGGCCAACCAGCTAGCTCATCAAGTTGGACCATTTAAAACTTGCTAATTTCTTCAAAGAGTAAAAATGAAGATTTGTTTACTTTTTTCTACATATTATTCATAGTCAAATCACTATAAACATGAGTAACTTCTAAAATTATTCTATAAAATCATTAAAGTTAATTTTTATCTTAAAAATTAAAGAAATAATAGTAAAATTTCAACAGCTATAGACCTCAAAAAAAAAGTGCAATAGTTACAAATATCATGTGAAAGTAGTCCAACGCCATTATGCGTTGGCCAAACAGCCAGCTGATCAAGTTGGACCATTTTAAACTTACTGATTCTTTCGAAGACCAAAAATGAAAGATTTTAGAAAATTAATAATAATAACTTTTTTTCTGCATACTGTTCATAGGTAAGAAAGTCAAATCAGTGACAAATGCAACATAAAACATGAAGATGATTGACTATCATATACGGTAAACTAGCTTTAAAATTGCAAAATGCCCAGTATCGATCAATATCTCAATACAAATATTGGGATTCCCTGAAGTGTCAAAGACTGTAAGTATTTGGTTAGGTTTGGAGTCTTTGGACATTAATTCGAGCTAACTGCATGTCTTTCATCACTCAATTGTAGGTTGGAGAGTTCACTTTGTTGAATCTCAATCTTTTTTATTTATTTATTTATTTTTCTAATTGAAGTTGACTTTTCACTAAAAAATCAAATGTTTTATTGTAAAGATTATAAAATATCAATTATTAAACAAAAAACCCTCTTTTAACATCTACGGCCCTCTTAAGTTGACAACTATTCCGTACTATGAAACATGTTTTTTCCACTAAAATGCCCACTTAAATGAAAACTATTTCCATACTTTCTGCCATTGATAAATAGTAGTAATGTAGTGTAGAAATAAAAACGATACTAAAATTTAAAATTTGCATTTATTTCAAAATATAAATAGCAGTGAAATTCCCCTTGTTGAATTATACCAAACCGCTGTGGAAATTCACCTTTGGTTTTTTTTCATTCCATATATTTCATATATCTAAACTGGTTTCCCGACCAGATTACCGATCCATCAATACGGTTGCTGACGGTTATCGGCGGGTGTCCATCCATGGTTTGTATAACTGCTTTGGGCTTTCCTTTTGTTTGTTTTATTAAGACCTCACCCAAGTCTGTGTGTGTGTATTTTTTTTCTTCATAATGTCAATCTTTTCATCCCGCTTAAAACTC